GATCACACATCACAAATGCCTATGGGATCAACACGAATACAAGCAGCACACAAACTCAAAGCCGCCATCCTCCTCCTGGTCCAGCATCTTCAGCCACGTCAACCACTGCTGTCCTCCTTGCCCCCTCTCAACCATCCGCCACTCCGTCTCTCGCCTTGAGCAGTTCCTGCTAATCTGCCCACAGTCAGGTGTCTGTCAAGGACATGTTTGAGAGTAAGAAGCCAATGTCAGAAAGTCACCCCCTTGCCCGGCGTCTGACAGCTGGCTTGTCTGTACTATTAGCCCACCAGCTTTTACCATACAAGCTGGTGGAGTCTGAGGCGTTCAAAACATTTGTAGCTATTGGAACACCGCAGTGGAAGGTAGCCGGACGAAATTTCTTTTCACAAAAGGCAATCCCCAACCTGTACTCGATTGTGCAAAAGGAAGTAATGGCATATCTGGCACACAGTGTTGGGGCATCTGACCACTGATACCTGGTCTGCAAAGCATGGTCAGGGCAGGTATATCACCTACACTGCGCATTGGGTAAACCTGCTGACGGCTGCCAAGCATGGAATGCGTGGATCTGCAGAGGAGTTGGTGACACCGCCACGACTTGCAGGCAGGCCTGCTGCCACCTCCTCTACTCCTTCTACTCCATCCTCTTCCATAACCTCCTCGGCTGAGTCTTCTTCTGCTGCTGCGTCTTGCTCCATACCAACGGCACCCCCCCAGCTCCCCAGGTACTATTCCACATCCCGGATACGGCAGTGTCACGCCGTCTTGGGTTTGACTTGCTTGAAAGCAGAGAGTCAAGCACTCCTGTCCGCCCTGAACGCACAGGTGGAAAAGTGGCTGACTGCGCAGCAACTGGAGATCGGCTAAGTGGTTTGTGACAACGGAACAAATTTGTTGGCGGCATTGAAGTTAAGTAGTTGACACATGTGCCGTATGGCACATGTGTGTAATCGATCTACAACGCCTTTTGCATAAGTACACAGGCTTATGTAGGTCCTGAAGCAGGCCAGGAAGGTGTGTGGCCATTTCAGGCGTTCCTACACGGCCATGGCACACTTTGCCGATATCCAGCGGCGAAACAACATGCCATTGAGGCGCTTGATTTGCGACAGCCTGACACGTTGGAATTCAACACTCCTAATGTTCGACCGCCTGCTCCAACAAGAAAAAAACGTTAATGAATATTTGTATGACCGGGGTGCTAGGACAGCCTCTGGGGAGCTGGGAATTTTTTTGCCACGTTACTGGACGCTCATGCGCAATGCCTGTAGGCTCATGCGCCCTTTTGAGGAGGTGACAAATTTAGTCAGTCGCACCGAAGGCACCATCAGTACATCATACCATTTGTTTTCTTCCTGGAGCGTGCCCTGCGAAGAGTGCTGGATCAGGCCGTAGATGAGCGTGAAGAGGGAGAGGAAGAGTTGTGGTCACCATCACCTCCAGAAACAGCCTTATCAGCATCGCTTGCTGGACCTGCGGCAACGCTGGAAGAGGATTGTGAGGAAGAGGAGTCAGAGGAGGAATGTGGCTTTGAGGAGGAGGAAGAGGAGGAGCAAGACCAACCACAACAGGCATCCAGGGTGCTCGTTGTCACCTATCTGGTACCCGCGGTGTTGTAATGCGGGTTGGGGAAGAACATCTTCACGAGATCACTGAGGAGGAGGAACGGAAATGAAAGTAGCTCCCGCATCCAACCTTGTGCAAATGGGGCTTTTCATGCTGTCGCGGCCCGTTGAGGGACCCTCGTGATAAAAAGGCTTAGCGCGAGAACGACCTGTACTGGGTGTCCACGCTACTAGACCCCCGGTATAAGCAGAAAGTGGCTGAAATGTTACCAAATTACAAGTCGGAAAGGATGCAGCATTTGCTAAATAAATTAAAAAGTATGCTTTACACAGCGTATAAGGGTGATGTCACAGCACAACGGGAATCTAACAGGGGAGAGGTGGAAGTCATCCTCCTCCTCCCATGACCACGCCGGCAAGGACAGGACGCTTTAGAGACGTGTTGTTGATGGAGGACATGCGGACCTTTTTAAGTCCCACGCATCGCCACAGCCCTTCGGGATCCACCCTCAGAGAGCGACTCGACCGACAGGTAGCAGACTACCTCGCCTTAACTGCAGATATCGACACTCTGAGGAGCGATGAACCCTTTGACTACTGGGTGTGCAGGCTTGACCTGTGGCCTGAGCTATCCCAATTTGCGATAGAACTTCTGGCCTGCCCCGCTTCAAGTGTCCTGTCAGAAAGGACTTTCAGTGCAGCAGGAGGTATTGTCACTGAGAAGAGAAGTCGCCAAGGTCAAAAAAGTCTAGATTACCTTACCTTTATTAAGATGAATGAGGGATGGATCCCGAAGGGACTGACAGTGGGCGATACATTCGACTAAAAAGGCCTGATGAGATGAGCTGCCTTCTTTGGCTAAAATGGTCCACACGCTGCTGTATTTTAGCTCTGAATGCCGGTTGATTCTATGCGGACTTATCCTACCACCAACTAGGGTCTGCCGTTAATGATTTAGGCAGTGCTCCTTAACCTTTATCAGCCGCTGACCGTAAACGCTGACCACGCATCGCCCACGTCCAAGTTGGGGAACACTGTTTTAGGGCACTTTCTGCCTGGAAACAAACATCATCGGTTTACCGCTGCTACAGCAGCGCTGCAAATGTAATACCTAATTTTTTTCAGGCATGTGCGGGCTACGCCTAATTTTTCGGGCCTCTGGTGCTGCACTGTGGTCGCAAAACCAAAACCAAAAAAAAAAGGCACATAACAGGGATTAAACTGATAAGAATAATACTACTTAACACACCTTATAATAACGCAGAGAGAGGCAACGCAGAGAGAGGAGTCTGAAGAAGAGGAGTCAGAGGAGGAAGGTGGCTTTGAGGAGGTGGAAGACCAAACACAGCAGGCGTCCCAGGGGCTTGTTGTCACCTTTCGGGGACCCTTGGTGTTGTACGTGGCTGGGTGGAGGAAGAGACCTTCAATGACATCAGTGAGGACAAGGAACGGACATGGCTAGCTTGGTATCCAACCTTGTGCAAATGGGGAGTTTGCGGTTGTGCAAATGGACTGTTTGCGGTGCGTTAAACGGCGAGTTTGGTCTGTCACTGTGAAGCGGGTGTAACCCTTACTACCTGATCGATACAACATCATACAGTAGGTCCCCTCTCATTGTTTATGGCCCTTTCACCCACCGCAGTAGGGTGGAAGTGGGGAGACAGTAGAACCCCCTTATCCTTATTTACTGAATATTCCCCTGTATAACAATGTTTGGCATTGCGAATATTCTATTCTGCTCTGTGTCAGTGTATCAGGGATCCTTAGGATAGGTGTCAATCCATATCTGCCAAGTGACCCTATGTAGGGGGAACAGTCTCTCTTCTGCTCTGTGTCAGTGTGTATCATGGTCTCTGAGGACGGGTGTCAATCCATATCTTTCAAGTGACCCTATGTAGAGGGAACAGTCTCTATTCTGCTCTGTGTCAGTGTGTATCATGGTCTCTGAGGACAGGTGTCAATCCATATCTGCCAAGTGACCCTATGTGGGGGAAACAGTCTCTATTCTGCTCTGTGTCAGTGTGTATCATGATCTCTGAGGACAGGTGTCAATCCATATCTGCCAAGTGACCCTATGTAGGGGGAACAGTCTCTATTCTGCTCTCTGTCAGTGTGTATCATGGTCTCTGGGGACAGGTGTCAATCCATATCTGCCAAGTGACCCTATGTAGGTGGAACAGTCTCTATTCTGCTCTGTGTCAGTGTGTATCATGGTCTCTGAGGACAGGTGTCAATCCATATCTGCCAAGTGACCCTGTGTAGGGGGAACAGTCACTATTCTGCTCTGTGTCAGTGTGTATCAGGGTCTTTGAGGACAGGTGTCAATCCATATCTGCCAAGTGACCCTATGTAGGGAACAGTCCCTATCTGGTGTCATTGTGTGTATCAGGGATCCTGAGGACAGGTGTCAATCCATATCTGCCAATCATGTAGAACAGTCCCTATTCTGCTCTGTGTCAGTGTGTATCAGGGATCCTTAGATAGGTGTCAATCCATACCTGCCAAGTGACCCATGTAGGGGAACAGTCTCTATTCTGTTCTGTGTCAGTGTGTATCATGGTCCCTGAGGACAGGTGTCAATCCATATCTGCCAAGTGACCCTATGTAGGGGGAACAGTCCCTATTCTGCTCTGTGTCAGTGTGTATCAGGGTCTCTGAGGACAGGTGTCAATCCATATGTCAAGGTGTCAATATGTCATATGTCAGGTGTCAATCCATATCCATTGCGATTTAGGAATGTTAGGTGATTTATGCCCTTTATGGATTAAGACCAGACTCTGCATCAACTGTGTAATTTTCCATTGGAGTTTTGCCATGGATCCCCCTCCGGCATGCCACAGTCCAGGTGTTAGTCCCCTTGAAACAACTTTTCCATCACTATTGTGGCCAGAAAGAGTCCCTGTGTGTTTTAAAATTTGCCTGCCCATTGAAGTCTTGGGTGGTTCGCTGGTTCGCGAACATTTGCGGAAGTTCGCGTTCGCCGATCGCGAACCGAAAATTTCGTGTTCGCGACATCACTAATGTTAGCTGCTCAGCTCATGCTAATCGCTCATAGTCTGAACTGAGTAGGTACTCAGAATATGTCTGTTAAGGAAGTTGCTTTGTGAAAAAGAGGCGACATGGCTAAGAGGAAGCTGTAAAACGTTTTTTTGTTTTAGCAAAATTAATGAGATTGAATGTGAAGAAAAACACAGCATGAATATGAGATCAAAATCAAACAAATAAGTTGTTTTGGTACCCAGAGTATGACTATAATGTCCTTTTAAGGACTCATAGTTTTTGTTCCAGGCATGGACATTCACCCTTCATATACAATTAAAATGAATATCATTGAGAAGCATATTAATAAATGTACTTATCAGCTGCTGATTCAGTTATGTAATTCATTTTCGTGGGAAAGAGTACCATAAGTCTCAGGTAGCCACTATTAACATTAGTGAATGATAACTCTGAAAACATAATGTACCAAACTTTGAAGCAGATGAGCTACAACAGTAAGATGCTGCTTTGGTTTTACTTCTTTTAGCTTTATTTAGATAATGATCAGATGAGAACTAATCTTTCAGATCACAACTGTATCAATGTCGACTTCCAGTTTTATTTAGATGGAAACTAATCTTTTAGATCCAAGCTGTGTCAATCACCTCTACCTCATCATCATTTTTTGCTGTACTATCAGTCCATCTATGTTATGATTCTTAAATCCACTAAAAATATTCTCAATATAGTAAAGTGTATAGCACCCATGAGGCTTGTTAATCTTTTTGGTAAATAGCTCCTTTAAGCTGACAAAATTTACAAACAGCTGTTACCTTGTTGCAAATTACAAATTAATACCACGTTTCCAACCTTGTTCCTAAGTTTTGTAGCTTATAGCAAATAATGACTGCCGCTACAGATAGCATCACTTGAATAATAGTTACTTGTTGCAAATGCACAGACACAGCTGAGCATGCGCACTTCATCCTGCGTAACCAGTAGCAATGGGCAAGTAATGGCATGGCAATTCATAATTAACAAGAGGGTTCAAACCAATTTTTTTTTTAAGCGAAAGAATATGTATAGTGTGAGTTGTCGTTAATCTTTTTATACCAGGACAGAAACTAGTTTCAAATTTCCGTGGTTAGTAGCAGAGTTGATTAGTTTAAAATTAGTAGAAAATATGAGAAATTATTGAGAGATGTCAGCTGCTACATGGTGACTAGCTTTCAGTACATTCTGCTGGTAACTTCCTATTGCCTCTTATGAAATATTACAGATAGAAAACAGCTGCTATTCATTAACATTGATTGACCAGTCTTAAAGATCAACTGCACCAAGTGGGCATGAGAACATGAGTAGTCAAAATCACAATCTGATATAGTCCTAGAGCTAATGGACAATTTAGTGCAGTGTTTCTGTTTTATCTAGACGTTGCAGTAATATTTTTGCATTGGACAAACAGAATTTGAATCCACTATTTTTGCATTTACTCCTTTATTCAAATATAAGCTATTTTGGTCATCAGAAATAGTCAGTCCATTTGAAAATTAGTTGAATTATATATTTCTTAAAACAAAAGGGCAGGTGATGCACATACATATATTATTGTTTTAATACATATAATCGTGTCTAGGCTGGAACTTTGTGAGACTGATTTTGTTCAATGTGCTTGACAAACTTGATAAAGGTAGCAACTCCACCTTGATAAAATAGCATATTTCCAA